GATTGCACTACCGCACTCCAGCCTGGGTGACAGAGTGACACTCCGTCTCAAAAAACAAAAGAAATGTCAACGGCAGCACTGTCAGAAGAGCAAAGCGGAACCCAACTTAAGAGCTCACTAATAAGGGAGAGGATGAAGGTGACTGAGGCATCCCTCCACACACAGAGCTGTTAGAGTGCATTTTGCCTGCATGAACCAACATGCTGCTGAATGACACACACAATCTGACATGCTGTTTACACCCAGAATGACACACACAATCTGATATGTGGTTTACACCCATCTTTCAAGATTCAAAACAAGTCTACACATGGTGTAAGGATGCACAGTATGTGATAAAAATATAAAATCAGGGACTGGAGAGGTACACACTGGCAGCTGGAGAGTGGTTGCCTCTGGAAAAGGAGGAAGGCAGATGAAATAGAAAGGCATATAAAGGGGATTTTGGTTGTGTCCTTTACAAACACAATGGGAGAAGAGCTGAGGCAGATGAGGCGAGAGGTTAACGTGTGTCACACACAGGTACTGGGTTCGTGTGGTCGGCTATCTTACCTCTCTACTCTATTGAGTGCTTCATAATTTAAGACGCATGATTCTTACTGTGGTGGGTGTGGAAGATGGCAGTTTGGCAACATCCACATTAAGACGGTACTTACACTTCACCCAAAACTTGTACCTTTAGTACTGGACCATACAGATGTGGTCACACATGTTTACAGACACATGTGGAAAGATATTCTGCACAGCGCTGTGCATAATAGCAAATGGTTGGCAATGACCTAATTCTATCTGTAAATTATTGTTAAAGAAACTCTGATTCGGCCAGGCGCAGTGGCTCACACCTGTAATCCCAGCACTTTGGGAGGCCAAGGCGGGCCGATCACAAGGTCAGGAGATCGACACTATCCTGGCTAACATGGTGAAACCTCGTCTCTACTAAAAAGAAAACACAAAAAATTAGCCAGGCGCGGTGGCACATACCTGCAGTACCAGCTACTCGGGAGACTGAGGCAGGAAAATAGCTTGAACCCAGGAGGTGGACGTTGCAGAGAGCCGAGATCGTGCCACCGCACTCCAGCCTGGGTGACAGAGCGAGACTCCGTCTCAAAAAAAAAAAAAAAAAAGGAAAGAAAAGAAAAACAAACAAAACTAACAAACAAAAACTCTGATTCATCCCTACAGGGAATACCATGCCACTATAAAAAAAAAAAGAGAGAGAGAAGGGGCTGGGCACGCTGGCTCATGCCTGTAATCCCAGTGCTTTGGGAGACTGAGGCAGGCGAACTGCCTGAGCTCAGGAGTTCAAGACCAGCCTGGGCAACATGCCAAAACCCGTCTCTACAAAAAATAAATACAAAAATTGGCTGGGCGTGGTGGCACGCACCTGTAGTCCCAGCTACTTGGGAGGCTGAGGCAGGAGGATCACTTGAGCCTCAAGGCTGCAGTGAGCTGAGACTGCACCACTGCACTCCAGCCTGAGTGACATAGCAAGACCCCGCCTATCTATGTATCTATGTATCTATGTATCTATCTATCTATCTATCTATCTACTTACTTACTTAGAAATAGTTTCACTCTGTCGCCCAGACTGGAGTGCAGTGGCAACATCTTGGCTCATCGCAACCTCCGCCTCCCAGGTGCAAGTGATTCTCCTGTCTCAGCCTCCCAAGCAGCTAGGATTACAGCGCCTGCCACCTGTATTTTGTATTTTTGTATTTTTAGTAGAGGCGGGTTTCACCATGTTGGCCAGGCTGGTCCCAAACTCCTGACTGCAAGTGATCTGTCTGCCTTGGCCTCCCAAAGTGCTGGGATTACAGGAGTGAGCCACTGCACCTGGCCCCATCTCTTTATACACCAATATAGAACAATCTTCATGATTAAGTTTTAAAAAAAAAATGCGAGATGGGAGCAGCTGCACACGGGGCAGGACTATGGGTGTGTGGGTGTATTCCAGTGTATTCCCAGAGTCGCCCTTGGGGAGGGTGCCAAGGAGATGCAGGCAGGGTGGGGGAGAGGCCTGCGGTGCACCTGCCTTCTGGTCTGCATGTGTTCCACGTGCATGTTCTGTCCCAAAATTCTTTGTTAAAAAGAGATACCACGTGAAATTTTCATTATTTAAGAAATTCCCACCAATAAGTGAGAAAAAAACAAACTATCCAATAGAAAATTGGGCTATAAACAGACAACTCATAAGAGAAATACGAATGGCCAGCCGGGCGCAGTGGCTCACGCCTGTAATCCCAACACTTTGGGAGGCCAGAGCGGGCAGATCATGAGGTCAGGAGATTGAGACAATCCTAACTAACATGGTGAAACCCTGTCTCTACCAAGAACACAAAAAATTAGCTGGGTGTGGTGGCAGGCGCCTGTAGTCTCAGCTACTCGGGAGGCTGAGGCAGGAGAACTGCTTGAACCTGGAAGGCGGAGGTTGCAGTGAGCCGAGATCGCGCCACTGCACTCCAGTCTGGGCGACAGAGTGAGATGCCATCTCGAAAGAAAAAAAAAACAAGAAAGAAATGGGGCCGGGCGCGGTGGCTCAAGCCTGTAATCCCAGCACTTTGGGAGGCCGAGACGGGCGGATCACGAGGTCAGGAGATCGAGACCATCCTGGCTAATACGGTGAAACCCCGTCTCTACTAAAAATACAAAAAAACTAGCCGGGCGAGGTGGCGGGCGCCTGTGGTCCCAGCTACTCGGGAGGCTGAGGCAGGAGAATGACCGGAACCCGGGAGGCGGAGCTTGCAGTGAGCTGAGGTCCGGCCACTGCACTCCAGCCTGGGTGACAGAGCGAAACTCCGTCTCAAAAAAAAAAAAAAAAAAGAAAGAAAGAAATACAAATGGCCAAAAAAATTTTTTTTTTTTTTTTTTTGTGTGAGACAGAATCTTCCAGTCTGGGCGAGAGAGCACAAGACTTCCGTCTCCAAAAAAAAATTTCAACTACACTAACAAGGACAAACCAAAATGAAATGCCACAATTCACCTGCCAGATTGACAAAAGGCTGGCTGACATCAGGGCTGGTGAGGACATGAGAAAATGGGCACCTTTGTATACGACTGGTGGGCAGGACGAGAGACAACCTTAGTAGTGGGAATTCATTAGGACCGCCTGAACTTCCCCCCATTGGGTTTAACAGCCTTATAAAGATATAATCCACATACCAACAAGTCACCCACTTACAATGTACACTTCAATGGCTTCTAGTACATGCACAGTTGTTCAACCATCACCACAAACAATTTTAGCACATTTTTATCACCCCAATCTTCCCATCCCCCAAGACCCAGGAAACCACTCATCTATTTTCTGTCTATGTATTTGCTTATTCTGGACATTTCATATGAATGAAATCAGATAGTGTGTGGCCTGTTGTGTCCAGCTTCTTTCACTGAGCCTAATGTTTCCCTTTTCTTTTTGAGACAGGATCCACTCTGTGACCCAGGCTGGAGTGCAGTGGCGCAATCATAGGTCAGTGCAACCTCCAACTCCAGGGCTGAAGTGATCCTCCGGCCTCAGCCTCCCAAAGTGTTGAGATTACTGGCGTGAGCCACTGCACGCAGCCCAGCCTAATGCTTGAGGATTCACCCATGCCGCAGCATGCATCAGAACTTCACTACCTTGTAGGGCCGAATAATATCCTGCTATTTAGATAGATATTTTGTTCATCAATTCCTCAGTAGATGGACTTGTGGGTTGTTTCTACTTTTTGGCAATTATGAATAATACTGCTATGAATATTTATGTACAAGGTTCTGTGTGGACAGGCTTGCACCTGTAATCCCAGCACTTCGGGAGGCTGAGGTGATCGCTTGAGCTCAGGAATTCAAGACTACCCTGCACAACACACTGAGACCCCCAACTCTACCAAAAAAAAAAATTAAATATGTAGCCAGGGCGTGCTGGCATGCACCTGTGGTCCCAGCTACTTGGGGGCTGAGCCCAGGACGTTGAAGCTGCAGTAAGCCATCATCTCGCCACTGAACTCCAGCCTGGGACACAGGGCAAGATCCTGTCTCAAAAAAAGAATAAAATAAAATAGAAATACAATATACAGCAACACCTGTAAGTGTATGAAAGCTTTGTGTAAAAGGATATTCCTGGAGCACTGTTTATAATAGCAAAATGTTGAAAACTAAGTTTCTACTAATAAGAAACTCATTGAATTAACTGGGGCAGACTGTACACGGAATACTGTACAAACATGAGATGTCTCTAAGTTACACAGTAAAAGCAGAATCCCACTTTGTTCAAACACAAAGCAATGTGCACACACTTGCCTACAGACACACCTTTCCACAGCAGAAGAAAAGCCCCAGGGCAGCTCTTTCCCAAACCAAGTGGGTATCTTAGGGAGGCTGAAAAAGAGAGGAAGATCTTTGCCTTTTTTTTTTTTTTTTGAAACAGAGTCTCTCTCGCTCTGTTGTCCAGGCTGGAGTGCAGTGGCGCGACATCAGCTCACGGCAACCTCCGCCTCCTGGATTCACACCATTCTCCTGCCTCAGCCTCCCGAGTAGCTGGGAATATAGGCGCCCGCCACCACACCCAGCTGATTTTTGGTATTTTTAGTAGAGACGGGGTTTCACCATGTTAGCCAGGATGGTCTTGATCTCCTGACCTCGTGATCCACCTGCCTCAGCCTCCCAAAGTGCTGGGATTACAGGCGTGAGCCACCACACCTGGCCTCTACCTTCTTATTCTATACAATTTTTCTAAGTGACAGGATTATGAGTGCTATGTACTTTTAAAATATTTTTCCATATTTTTCAAATAGTATTTTCAAAATTATTACAGGAATAGGTGTCTATTTCTACTCACCATTGTACCCTTAACGCCAAAGCACCACTCAACACCGGGCGTCAAGAGATAAAGAAAATGTGTTGAATAAATGAACGAAAAGCAGTTATTTCTGTGCAAAGGAAAATTCTGTAATAGCTTATACTTCAGTAATATGGTTCCTCATTTGCTGTGACTACATTACATGCTAATAAACAGGGTCACTTACGTGATTCAGAAAATACTGCACGATTATCTCATGGCCAGCCGCAGCTGCTTCCATCAAAGGAGTAAATCCATATATCGGCTCCCTGCAAGATGTGGGCCACAGTCAGATGATTGGCAGAGACCAGTTCTGTCAGGCAAAAACTCCCTGCTGAAGATAAACCCAGGGCAGTGCACGAATCACCGAACCCTCAGTGTAGAACACTCTCTCTCCCTTTCAAGAATTAACAGGTGAGATGAGAATAACACATCAGCTCCATTTACTCTTCTGGTTTCTGTCCCCAGGGCTGGTCTTTGTCCTAAAGACAGATGTCTGCCTATCATCCCTCCTGTTGGCTATTCTCTGCTACCTCTAAAATCTCCACCTCAATCATATTCAAAAAGCAGTTCTGACTCCTTACTCCTCACAGAAAGCCAACGTCTCCCATCCATTCATCCAAATCCTAGCTTCAAGTTCAACACCCTCCACGAACCCACTCTGAAAAGCTCAGGTACTAATGATCTAAGCTGTCCTTGCTACGCTTAGCTCCTGAAGCTTGCTTTTCATACTTGGTTATGCTAACTCGGCACTGTCTTCAGAGGGCTTCCGAATCCCTCCTTGTCTCATGCTGGTCTAGAAGTCAGGAACCATGCATGGGAAATGCTGGTTTTCATCCATTCTAAGACACACAGTGTTCATATTTTAACATCTCTGAAGTCAGAAAACATCTTTAAACCAACAGGTGAGTTGAATGTTAATTAGTAGCATATTTTTTCTTTCTCAGTGGCATACAAAATTATGGGGTGTCTTAGGATGGATGACAGCCAGGGTGGGTCTGCATTGGTACCCACTGCGTTTGTTCAAAGGTGATTATTATCACAACAAGCTTTAGACAACAATCCCACTTCCAACTTATAAAATTCATGACTGGTTGTTTGTTTGTTTGTTTTTGAGGAGTTTTGCTCTTGCTGCCCAGGCTGGAGTGCAAAGGCATGATCTCAGCTCACTGCAACCTCTGCCTTCCGGTTTCAATTGATTCTCCTGCCTCGGCCTCCTGAGTAGCTGGGACTGCAGGCGCCCGCCACCAAGCCCAGCTAATTTTTGTTTTTTCAGTAGAGACGGGGTTTCACCATGTTGGCCAGGCTGGTCTTGACCTCCTGACCTCACGATCTGCCCTCCTTGGCCTCCCAAAGTGCTAGGATTACAGGTGTGAGCCACCACTCCCAGCCAAAACTCATGACTGTTTTTAAAGCATCACCTCATCTCATCCATACAAAAGACAAGAAAATGGAAGGAATTTGCATGTAATGTATGACATTTAAATGCCATTCAGTATGTTAGGCCCCTGGCATACAATAAAACATGTAATTCTTACAACTCTATGACCCAGGTGGGTTTCAGATAAAGAAAAGGAAGCTGAGAGGGCTTGAAGAGATGCACTCACAGATGTGGGAAAAGGCCCACGCCTGGAAGGACTCTCGTCCTACCCCTCATCTTGAGCCTTTCCTGCCGAAGCAGGGTGGCCCTAAACTCTGGTTAGCTACCTCCAGAGCCAACCTCCTTAGAGTCAGATGACACCTAGGCCACTCCTGTGGCCACTAAAGACGTGGCAATCACCTCACGTTGGCATTGGCTCCACTGTCCAAGAGGAACCTGACCATGTGCTGGTGCCCGGCGCTGGTACAGTGGAAAAGGGCCGTCCAGCCCTGGATGTCTTTCATTTCTAGCTCTGCACCTTGCTTCAAGAGAACACAGAACGTGCGTTACGGCCTCATCTCCTCTGCGTGGGGCGGGCGCCCTCCAGGCGGCCATGCTGCAAGAATCAGAAATGATTACACGAGCACACAAGAACACCATGGCCTGCAGTGGTTTGCGTCTCTGTCAGGGCGGTCAGGGAGCCCCTCAGGTTTCTGGGCCTGAGTTCCCTCGTAGCTCACCTGGAGGAGAAAGTAGGCGATGCTCTCGTTGCCACAGCTGGAGGCCAGCATCAGTGGAGTCTGCCCTTCTGGGGTCGGCACATTCACACTCACCCCCGCCTCAAGCAGCAGGTGCACGATGGTGTCGTGGCCAATGTAGGAGGCATACATCAGCGGGGTCCAGCCACCACCGTTCTTCTTATTCAAATCTAACTCTCTCCTAAACAAACGCAAGATACGCTAGACATGGCCAGCCGCCTCACATGTGGGGTTCGCCAAAGCCGGTGGCGAGCCTAGGCCAGGCGGGATGAGTTGACAGGAAGTAGAAGTTATCTGCCACCCTGGACGTTGTAGGGATTGGGGGCAGGCAGGCAGAGAAATGCTGACAGTTGCTCGTACACTGCCTCGTGAGGCCCTGAGCCTTTGTCTCCTTGCGCTGATTTCGCATCCTCCTAGCCCGAGGCCGGCTATGTTCTTTCACACCACCAGACAGACAGATGGCGCTCAACCAAGGAGTATCTGGCAACGTCTGGAGGCACTTTTGGTTCTCACAGCTGGGCAGGGAAGGGCTGCTGGCATTTAGCAGGTGGAAGCCAAGGCTGCTGCTAAACATCCCACAGTGCCCAGGACAGCCCCACAGCAAAGAATGATCCAGCATGGACTGTCAACACAGCCACAGTTGAAAAACCCTGACCACCGCAGGACTGGCATCTACTAGCCCAGTGCTAGGTGGAGAGGAGCAGTGAGGAAAGAAAGGACTCCACCGTGGACAAGTCCCACCGCCACTGATTCATCCTTTGTCACCTCACCCTAAATAAACATTCTGGAAAAATCTGTGACCAAAGAATCCCATCTTTCTCACTGACTTCCGTTAAAATTCTGGAAATGCATTTTCCCATGGGAAAAAACTGTGGGCTTCCTAGTCATGACTTTGGGCTTGGGACAAGGGAGTCACGTTTAAAACAATACCCACTTGCATGGCTACCTGGGATCCTACAGGGTTAACCCCCACAGGTCTTTTTTCCCTTCCCCAATTCTTGCCTGCAGTGGGGGTAACAACTGGAGACTGAACCCCAGGATCTGTCCCTTTTGTGGGATTCACACTTTTTTTTTTTTTTTTTTTTGAGACAGTCTCGCTCTGTTGCCCAGGCTGGAGTGCAGCAGTGCGATCTTGGCTCACTGCAACCCCCACCTCCCAGGTTCACGCCATTCTCCTGCCTCAGCCTCCCAAGTAGCTGGGACTACAGGTGCCCGCCACCATGTGGGCCTGGCTAATTTTTTTGTATTTTTTTTTTTTTTTTTTGAGACGGAGTCTCGCTCCGTCGCCCAGGCTGGAGTGCACTGGCCGGATCTCAGCTCACTGCAAGCTCCGCCTCCCGGGTTTACGCCATTCTCCTGCCTCAGCCTCCCGAGTAGCTGGGACTACAGGCGCCTGCCACCTCGCCCGGCTAAGTTTTTGTATTTTTTTTAGTAGAGACGGGGTTTCACCGTGTCAACCAGGATGGTCTCGATCTCCTGACCTCATGATCCGCCCGTCTCGGCCTCCCAAAGTGCTGGGATTACAGGCTTGAGCCACCGCGCCCGGCCAATTTTTTTGTATTTTTTTAGTAGAGACGGGATTTCACTGTGTCAGCCAGGATGTCTCGATTTTCTAACTTCATGATCCGCCCGCCTCGGCCTCCCAAAGTGCTGGGATTACAGGCGTGAGCCATCGCGCCCGGCCGGGATTCACCTATTAGACCACACCAGGCAACTACCTTCCATTGCCTGGCAGCCCTCAGTGACTCTGGGATGCACACCCAGGCAGCCATTCCAGAAGGTCCTGATACCAGGCCAGGGGGCTGCATGGAGATGCTTCTGCAACAGGGCTCGAATGCACCCAGCTCGTCCTAACACTATCTTCCTTTACACAACAGCAGACCGCCTTTCTGGGGCTCTCTCACCACTCCTCGTTCAGTCCCACCCCTCCCTTCTGATGCCCCCGTCTCCCCTCAGGCCCCATCCCGTGCTTACTGTCAGCAAGCCTCCACCTCAGCTGGTGAAATCCCACCACAACACAAACACCTCCCGCTGCTCCTCTGCGGAGCCATTCTGGACTGTGCATCTTAACAGGACACCCAAAGACTTAGGAGCCTGAGAATTCCAAACGTGACCCTGTGAGGGGTCGCACTGACTGCATACCCAACTGCCTATGCCTACAGCCTCCTGCAGGGGGAGCACAACAGACTACCCTGTACCAAGCTGCACCGGCGCTCCATGGGCTGGGTATGTCTAAGTGAGGGCCACAAGTTGGGAACCGGAGACCTGGGGCTTCAGCAAGGCTTTGCTTTGGCTCACTGGGAACTGGAAGAGGCACGCGGAGATAGGGAGAGATGTCACTGCACCACAATATCAAATGAGAACCAGGAGACAGAGTTAGGCAGTGTGTGGAACATAAGGGGGTAGAAGTGAGGAGACTACCCTTTTCCAAAAACAAGATGATCACATTCTGCTATGGGCAAGACTCAGCCATGGGCCCGGCCAGGGGCTTTTTATTGTCTCTAACTATTGCATACAGATTAGCAAAGGGCAGGTGGGCAGTGAGGGCTGGAGGCCACTCCCCAGAGGCATGAAAAACCCAGCCTCTCTCAGTAGCAGAAGCTAGAGGGGAACAGGGATCACAGGGATCGAATGAACCCTCCAGGAAAAGAAGGCCAGGGATCACTTTCCTTTTGCTTTTTTTCTTTCTTTTTCTTTTTTTTGAGAAGGAATCTCACTCTGTCGCCAGGCTGGAGTGCAGTGGTGCAATCTCAGTCCACTGCAACCTCCACCTCCCAGGTTCAAGCGATTCTCCTGCCTCAGCCTCTTGAATAGCTGCGATTACAGGTACATGCCACCACGCCCAACTAACTTTTATATTTTTAGTAGAGATGGAGTTTCATCATGTTATCCAGACTGGTCTCAAACTCCTGACCTCAAGTGACCCGTCCACCCCGGCCTCCCTAAGTGCTGGGATTACAAGCATGAGCCACTGTGCCCAGCCTTCTCTTTCTGTCTTTATTTTTATTTTGCTTGCTTGTTTGGGCATTTCTGCAATTAGTGAATAAAATTAGTCTGGTTAAAGAACGACTGTTTATAAGCTTCTGATCAAAGTTTACACCCTCTTTTTCTTCCCAGGAATAACAACTGCCTCTTTGTCAGTGGCCAGCATCAATAATTACTGACAGCTGCCTGAGATAAGCAGGTTAACCTATTCTACACGCATTACACATCCACATCTGTGTGCAAAGCCCCACCACGTGGGATCCGAAGCCATTACTGCGCTACTCAAAATGTGACAGGGAAGCTCCCGCGATCTCTTACCGCTGCACACATTCCTTCACCACTTCATACTGGCCAATGGAAGCAGCTGTGTGAAGATCCAGGGGGACGTCCAGCTCCTCCCGGCTGACCTGTGCCCCCAGCCCATGCCACATGGACAAGCTGCGGTTCAGGAGTTCCGGCTCGCTGGCTTCATCACTGAGCTCGGACATCACTGAGGAGGAAGGGCCAAGGGTTAGATCTTTCCTGGCTGGTTGTTCCAGGGCATGAAACAGGCTGCTCCTGCCCCTGCTACACCACTACACTAGCAGACTGATAACCCAATGCAGTCAACCCTGGCAGTAACTTAGACAAATTTCTTTGCTTAAATAATGTATGGTTTGGGCAGTCCCATCAATGCTAAATCTGCTGAGCTTGCTACCACACCAGTAAAGAGAAGCACATATGGTGAGGCATCAACTGTGGAGTACGTTCTCCTCCTTCCATCCTCAGCCACCAGGTAAAAGAGAATTTCCCATCAACTCTCTTGGGCATCCAAGAGCAACCTCTTGGATGGGCAGTAAAGAAATGCTAATTGGGTTATTTAACCAAATCAGCTCCTTGATGTGGTGGGGAAGAACCCTGGATTTGGGGTTAGATCAAAATTCAGCTCGGACCACGTGTGGTGGCTCACACCTGTAATCCCAGCACTTTGGGAGGCTGAGGTGGGCGGATCACTTGAGGTTAAGAGTTCAAGACCAGCCTGGCCAACATGGTGAAATCCCGTCTCTACTAAAAATACAAAAATTAGCTGGGCATGAAGGCCAGCTACTCGGGAGGCTGAGATAGGAGAATCAATTGAACTGGGGAGGCGGAGGTTGCGGTGAGCGGAAATCACGCCATTGCACTCCAGCCCGGGCGACAGAGCAAGACTTCATCTCAAAAAAAAAAAAGAAAAGAAAAAAAAAAAGGCACTTCTGCTACTTAGCACCTCCAATCCCTAGTGCCTCACCGTCTAACAGGGACATATCTGAAAAGGCTGCTATTATGATACACGAAAGAATGGATAAACAAACGGTGGCACATCCGTATAATGGATGCTACTCAGCATTAAACACAAGGATCCAACAGTTGACATGCAACACAAGAACGAATCTCAAATGCTTCACGCTAAATGGAAGAAGCCTGACTACTGTATCATTTCACTTACACGACATTCTGGAAAAGGCAAAATTAAAGGGTTGGAGGTTAGGGGCGAGAGGGAATTAGGGGACAATAGACCTGTTCTGTGTGACTGTGATGGTGAATCTGTGACTCCATGCCTTTATGAAACCACAGACCTGAACGCCAAAATGAATTTTACTATATGTAAATTGTATTTATTTTTTTTTTAGACAGTCTTGCTCTGTTGCCCAGGCTGGAGTGCAGTGGCGTGATTTCAGCTCACTGCAACCTCTGCCTCCTGGGTTTAAGGGCTTCTTGAGCCTCAGCCACCTGAACAGCTGAGATTACAGGTGTACGCCATTATGCTAGGCTAATTTTTGTATTTTTAGTAGAGATGGGATTTTCACGATGTTGGCCAGGCTGGTCTTGAACTCCTGACCTCATATGATCCACCCGCCTCAGCCTCTCAAAGTGCTACAATTACAGGCATGAGCCACCGCACGTGGCCTACAAATTTTAAATATAAATTAATTTTTCTGGAATGGTTATGAAATTGAAAATTTCAAAAAAGTAAAGAAAAATAAATTTTTCTGAGAAAAATAGAAAGCAATTCCCCAACACAGAAACCAGGATGTGATTGGTGGCACTCAGCAACGACCAACTGAACAGGAATCCACTTTGGCATCCTTTGAAGAGAGAGATATGGGGGGAAATATAATAGGCCAGTGAACTGGTGGGGTGACACTTTCCCCAAGATGGGCCTACATGGGTAACGGCACACCAGGAATCCCCAAATCAAGGCCAAGTCATTAGCTTCCTGGTAGAATCCTTAGGTACAAGAGTGCCAGGAAACAAGGGTAGGAAAGGGAGCAAAGGTGAAAACAAAGGCCTTGTCATGTTGCCATCACCTACAGGTGCCATGGCAGTTAATAGATGCAATGAGGACCTCAGTTTCTACTAAAGAATGCTTCCAAGCCCAGGTGATAGCCAAGATGGCTGAAGAAACAAGCCACCAATGTTGGGGACAAACACTTCACAGGCCCTTGGCGAGAGTGTTTGTAGGTGTGGTGGGGCAGGCAAAGCCCTCCCTTCTGGAACCACCACCTCTTCAGCTGGCAGAGCCCAAGATCATGCAGTCCCTTCCCTCACTCTGCAGGTGAGAATCCCACCCTGAACCGTCCTGGCCAACGGAGCCTGGGTAAGAAACCAAAGGCTCTGAGCTGAGTGTCACTTCAGAGTCCCTTCCATACCTCCCTCAAGCCTTCACTGGGCATGTCTCTTCCACTCCAAAGGCCTCCTGCAGGGTGAGGCCGTGTTCTCTATTTATTGGAGATTTGCATGTCTGACACCCCCCAAGGACTGAAGGACAATCAGAACCAGACCAAGCCTGATACACCACTGGAGGCCAAGGGTTCGAGACCAGCCTGGCCAAAATGGTGAAATCCCATTTTTACTAAAATTACAAAAATTAGCCGGGCGTGGTGGTGGGCGCCTGTAGTCTTCAGTATTCGGGAGGCTGAGGCAGGAGAATCACTTGAGTCTGGGAGGCGGCTGCAGTGAGCCGATATCAAGCCACTGCACTCCAGCCTGGGCAACAGAGTGTTTCAAAAAAAAAAAAAAAAAAAAAACTAAAGTGAAAACTAAAAGTCCCATCCCATCCCGAGTGATGTGGTGTAAAGTAGCATTGGTGTCGCTACTTTACAGGTGTGGTGTAAAGTAGCACTCGACATAGGATGTTTCATTCAACTTTTTGGTTCTGTCCACTCTGAAAATGTGAAGTATCTGTTACCTTTACAATAAATCCTAAAGAAAATGTGGTACTTAGACACAATGGAGTACTATTCAGCCATAAAAAAAGAAAGAGATCCTGTCATTTGCAAAAACATGGATGGAACTGGAGGTCATTACGTTAAGTGAACTAAGCCAGGCACAGAAAGACAAATATTGCATGTTCTCACTTATTTGTGGTTATCTAAAAATCAAAACAATTGAACTCACGGAGACAGAAAGCAGAAGAATGGTTACTTCTATTGTAACCAAGGCTGGGAAGGGTAGTGGAAGGTGGGGATGGTTAATGAATACAAATAAAAAATAGAGCGAATAAGATGTACTATTTGACAGCACAACAGGGTGACTATAATCAATATAATCTAATTGCACAATTTATTTATTTTTATTTTTTATTTTTTTGAGACGGAGTCTCACTCTTGCCCAGGCTAGAGTGCAGCGGCGTGATCTCAGCTCACTGCAACCTCCGCCTCCTGGGTTCAAGTGATTCTCCTGCCTCAGCCTCCCGAGTAGCTGGGATTACAGGTATGAGCCACCATGCCAGGCTAGCTGTTGTATGTTTAGTAGAGATGGAGTTTCCTCATGTGGGCCAGGCTGGTCGCGAATCCTTGACTTCAGGCGATCCGCCCGCCTCGGCCTCCCAAAAGGCTAGGATTACAGGCGTGAGTGAGCCACCGCGCCTGGCTGCACATTTAAAAACAACTAAAAGAGGCCGGGCGCGGCAGCTCAAGCCTGTAATCCCAGCACTTTGGGAACCTGAGACGGGCGAATCACGAGGTCAGGAGATCGAGACCATCTTGGCTACAACAGTGAAACCCCGTCTCTACCAAAAATACAAAAAACTTAGCCGGGCATGGTGGTGGGCACCTGTAGTCCCAGCTACTCATGAGGCTGAGGCAGGAGAATGGCGTAAACCCGGGAGGCTGCACTCCAGCCTGGGCGACAGAGCGAGACTCCATCTCAAAAAAAAAAAACAAAAAAAAAAACAAAAAAAAAAAACTAAAAGAGTATAATCAGATTGATTGTAACACAAATGATAAACGCTTGAAAGAATGGCGACCCCATTTTACATGATGTGATTATTACGAACTGCACGCCTGTATCAAAATCTCTCATGTACGCCATAAATTTATACACCTACTACGTACCCACAAAAATGAAAAAATTTTTTAAAATCTTAACAAACGTAATGCTGGTGGAAACTGTCACGCCCACAGAGGAGGTCTGTGAAAGCCCCCGGGCACCGCCTCTCGCCCCGTGGAACCGCAGCGGGAACCGGCGCATCGCAAAGCTAGCTCACTGGCCCCGAGGCGGGTCCCTGGCCGACAACCCCAGAACTCACAGCAGTGACGCTTCCCGACGCCCCCTGGCCACATCCCCACAGGAACCCTACCGTGCACAGAGCATTACTGTCCCCACGCCACAGCCACATAAAGAAAATGTGGGGCTCGGTCCTCCAGTCACGCGGCGAGCAAGTGCAGCGCGGGACGCCCGAGCGCTGGGTCTAGGCGGGCAGCAGGTGCTGGCAAATAGTGGGGCCGGGCCGCTACGGAACCCACCTGTGCTGGGCCTCAGGCCTTGCGCCGCCCTCGGGCTGCCGCCGCCAACCCCTCGAGCAACTAGCCGCCACGCTCCCTCGCCGGGCCACCGCCCCCGGCACCCGCCCCGGAAGTAGTTGCGGGAGGGCGCGGAGCACGCCGGGAAGCTCGCGGGTCCACACCGGGACAGCTCCCGGGCGCCGTGGAATGCACACGTCCCGCACCCGGACCTTCCGGTCAGCTTCCCGGCTCGTTGTATGATACCCGCGACAGCCAATGAGCAAGTGGTGTTTGTCCTACCCAGTCCCCGCCCTGGCCAGGGGAACCAATCCCATTGCAGGAGAGGCAGAACGCGCAAAGGCCCGAAAGAGGAGCGGGGGGAACGCGGCGACAGTCTAGTAATGTAAAGCTCCGCTAAGAGGGAGAGTGCCGAAGAAGGGGACAGTCTCTGTACCTGTGGCGCGGCCCGAGGGACGGACGCGACTGGAGTGGCGCCTTGGAGGCTGTTTACAGCCCTGTTAGGACCGCGCAGGGAGTGAAGGCGGAAGCCTCAGGTGAGGGGCCTCGGGCCTGCTGCGCCTGCAGGGAGTTGAACAAAACGCGGGGAAACACGGGCTGGGGGTGTGTGAGAGGAGGAGCGATGGGCTTTCCACTTCCACAGCTTTAAAATTTAAAGGCTCGACCCGGGAGGCTGTTGGCGTCTGGTTTCCATGACAACCGGCAGCCTCCTGGCAGGCGGGCTGGGGGCGGGGTTCTGGGGACCTGGGCGGGGCTGTGGCGTGCCTAACGGGCTGCAGCTGAGAAACTGACCCCCGAGACGGAGCCGGAAGGCCGTTATTCAGTGGTGGCTCCGAGCCTCCCCTTCGCCTTCTGGATGCGCCGAGCTCCTCAACGTCGCGTTCAGAGTCCTGCATTGTCTGCTCCGTTTTCACCGCAGATTCCAGCAACTGATACTTTCTTCCCTTAAACCTGTTGGGCGGTTTATTCCTTTGAGCTACTGTACATGCTCTTCCTTCTGCCGCTAATGCCGTTCCCTTGCCTATTGTCTTGTTCGCCTGAAGAGTTTATCAGAGTCTCTGCAGGCCCTCTTCACCTCGACGATTCTGTTGCCCTAAGAAATATTGTGCCCTGAATTGCAGAACAGAGCTGTAGTTACAAAAAACACCCGCTGAGTGTGTGCACCAGATGCGTCCCCAACCTGCTGCTCCCAGTTGAGAGTGCACCAAGCACCTGCCCTGGTCCCAAAAGCACAGAGGAAGCAAGCAGCCCCCAATTCACATCTCCTGCCGCTGCCCTGATTGGGGATGAAGGGGCACTGACTGCAGGGCCAAAGCCACAGCGGCCTCTCCGGCTGCAGGGTTCTCCTGACACTGGCTCTAGAGGACCCTCACCCCCCAGCTCTCAAGCTCAAGCTCCCCAGTCCCCTGAAGAACAGGACCATCTCCTTTAAAACTCTAAGATACAAATGCAGGGGCTGGTCAGAGTGGTGACTCCAAAAAAAAAAAAAAAAATCACTGGGTGACTGCAAACTGTCAGCCAGGCACGGTGACACATGTCTGTAATCGCAGCACTTTGGGAGGCTGAGGCAAGAGGATCACTTGAGGCCAGGAGTTTGAGACCAGACTGGGCAACAAGGAGACTCCATCTCTGCAAAAAATAAAAATATTAGCCAGACGTGGTAGTATATACCTGTAGTCCCAGTTATTCAGGAGGCTGAGGTGGGAGAACCACTTGAGCTCAGGAGGCCGAGGCCTCAGTGAGCTATCATTGTACCACTGTACGCCAGCCTGGGCAACAAAGCCAGACCCTGTCTCCAAAACAAAAAAGCAAGATGTTGGCCGGGCACGGTGGCTCACGCCTGTAATCCCAGCACTTTGGGAGGCTGAGGTGGGTGGATCACGAGGTCAGGAGATCGAGACCATTCTGGCTAACATGGTGAAACCCCGTCTCTACTAAAAATACAAAAAATTAGTCGGGCATGGTGGCAGGTGCCTGTAGTCCCAGCTACACGGGAGGCTGAGGCAGGAGAATGGCGTGAACCTGGGAGGCGGAGCTTGCAGTGAGCCAAGATTGCACCACTGTACTCCAGCCTGGGTGACAGACTGAGACTCTGCCTCAAAAAAAAAAAAAAAAAGCCAGGTGTCTCTCTTCTGTTCCTTGGTAAAGGGCAGTAAAGGGTAGTAGGACTTGAAATTCCCCCGATTCAGAGTCCATTGTTGCTATTTACTAACCACCCTGAGGCTATGAAATGAAGCGAATAGTGATGCTATATGGCGTATATATAAAATATACCTATATATCATTACATATCATACATATGACATTCTATATAACATATACACATATGTACATATGCATATTTATATCACTACATATATTTGTATATTATGTATATATCACTATATATGTGATATACCTGCAAGCTCCACATGTGTCCATGAGCAAACACACACACACACACACACACACACACACACACACACACACACACACAGAGTGCCTGGCACTCAGTAACAGGAGCTTGCATAACCTGAAGGAAACAGGCAGGTGGTAAGGCCTGCCAGCCTGTTTGGTCTCCTACAGCTGGTAGCGCAGCCCCTGCTCTCCTGACCTTTGATGGCCAGGACCCTCTTCCATCACCCCTTGTGCCCCACAGAGCTCCTCGGATGATGGTGCACTGAGAAGGCATCCGGAAGCCTGGGCCCTCATGGCATCCAACGACGAAGGTATGGCACCCTCGCTGGGCTCTCCCTGGGCCTCCCAGACAGGGCCCTGGGACGCCATCCTCAAGGCTGTCAAAGACCAGCTCCCGTCTCTGGACTCAGACTCCTCCTTGGTAAGCAGGAACTCTCCCTGAACGCCTTGTCCTTCCTACCAGAGCAGGCATGACGCTGACCAGGACAGCTTTGGAGCACTTCTCTGAAGACTTCTCCCGCTGACCTGTGCAGTTTGTTGTCATTTTACTTTAAATCACATGGCCAGACTCAAAGCTGTGTTTTCTGGGTGCCTATTTCCTTCTTTACTCTTTCTTCTGCCTTGAGTGTCATCTCTGAGCATGGGTATTGGTGCTTAGCATCTTGGGAGACCCTTTCAGTTGGGTTTTTGGTGCTGACTTGGAACCCAGGTCAACTCGATGCAGAAGCTCTGTCCTTTCCATTCTGCTATTCTCCACTCTCTCAGGCCAGGACAGGACCAGAACACCCACTGAGAATGCACAATTCCAGTGCATTGTGATGAGCCTTCGAGGGATTCTGCATTTGTGGTTTGGGGTCCCTGAAATGGCCCTCAAAGACACTCAGACCAATAGCCATAGGTGCAGGTGTAAGACGCTGCTGAAGATGCTCCTGGCAGGGGCTCCTCAGTGCACAGGTTGGCACTGGGTGTTGAGAGACAGTGTGAGGGTTTTAAAAGGAACGAGCTGGGTTTAGGTCCTACCTGGGCACCAGCAACAGAGCTTCAGGGACCTCACACGTCATCCAGTGCATGGCGAGGCTAAGGAGTACCTATGGGGACCCCGCACTTCAGTGCTCAGTGCGTTTTCACACCATCAGTCTCGTTTGAGAGTATGAGCCCCAGCCCCTTTAAGAAGACACACTAAGCTGTGTAAGTAATAGGGTCACAGGGGACGGGGAGGGCTAGACCCTGCTTTCAACTACCACCTCGCTGCCCTGTTCATGTCACACGAGGCATTAATGAAGCACCTGCTGTCTGCAAGGTACTTGCAGAACCAGGAGCCTGAATCTTACCTCCACGAGGTGGTACTGCCGAGCTGATTTCTAAACAGTGGCAAGAAGCCACGCACAGCAAGGCTAACTGGGAGAGAACCAGATCTCCCCCGGGCTCCTGAACAGCAGGGCTAGACGGGCAGGGAGGGCTGGGCGTGCTGGGCTGGAAGTAAGGGTGGAGAGCGGGGACGGCTGGGCCCTCAGGGCTCTGCCTGCTGCTGTGTCTTCCAAAAGCCCTCTCATTTGTCCACAGTCGGACTATGGGGAAGAGGAGCTGTTCATCTTCCAGCGAAACCAAACCGCCCTGATTCCAGACCTGTCAGAGGAGCTGGCTGAAGATCCTGCCGATGGCGACAAGTCCAGGACCTGGGCCGCTGCAGCTGAAGAATCCCTTCCCGAGGTCTGTGGGACACAGAAGAGTGTGCGCCTGTGTGTGTGCAACGTAAGTCTAAACTGACTGATCTAAACCACTGCTCTAGCATTTCCATGAAACCCAGTCCTTTTTTTTGTCCTGTGTACAACCCAAGGTATTCAGATGCCCAACATCTAACCTCCACACACCTCCCTCTCCCGGGGAGCCCAGCACCTTAGGGCTGGTGTGCGGACTTGATTTTCCATCTGATTTTGACCCTCCTCTTCCTCTTGATCGCTCCTATCCTGTTTTCTACCATGGCATCCTGAATAGCTTCTGGCCATTGTCATGACTGATTGTCCTAAATGTCTCTCCCTTAATCCAGCTGGCTTCATGGCTACCTGGCTCATCCCAGCACCTGGCAAGTACACAGGAACTCTGGTTTACTAACCTGCTAAACTAAACTGCTACAGGCTACCGTGGGGAGTGGGAGAGAGGAAGATGGCCCATCAGTGCCTGAGCAAGCACAAAAGCTGGACCTCGCGGGAGGGACACCCCAGGAGACAGTGAGCAAGTGTGGACTAAGCATGCCAACACAGGCCTGCGGTGCCAGTGCTGCACACTGAGACAGACGTTCCCATGAGGCCAGAGTTTGAGACCCCTGGGCAATACAGCAAGACTCCATTTCTGGCTGAACACAGTGGCTCATGCCTGTAATCCCAGCATTTTTGGGAGGCCAATGTGGGTGGATCACTTGAAGTCAGGAGTTTGAGACCAGCCTGGTCAACATGGTGAAACACTACCTCTACTAAAAATACAAAAATTAGCTGGGCATGGTGGCAGGTGCCCGTGATCCCAGCTACTCCAGAGGCTGGGACAGGAGAATCGCTTGAACCCCGGGGAGCAGAGGTTGCAGTGAGCCAAGATCATGCCACTGCACACTCCAGCCTGGGCAACAGAGTGAGACTCCATCTTAAAAAAAAGAAAACAGTGTAGAGGCACTAACCCACTTCCAAAATGGGGGCGGGGCCTAGCTCCAG